GAATGTTAGCAGTAAATGTGAATTTCTGGGTATGTAAACGGCAACAGATGGTGACACATTTGCAACCTTTCTGGATTTATCACAGTTAATCACATTAATATCATAAACATTGCATGTAATTACAACTTGAACCCCTTCAGTTTCATACTGATAGCGACTGACTCCAGCTTATTGCCGCTTTATCGCTGTCTTAATGCACCAGTCACTTTAAAAAGGGCAACTGACTGCAAGCAGCTGCAAACCCAGTCACTGCATTTGAAGTAATCGTCACACAGGCAACAAGATCACAAGTTCATTGTACACGAGCGCACAAATTTTATTCATACCACGGTCTCCGGCCACTGAAGATGTTCGATTTTGTGCATTTCTATATTTGTACATGTTTCGGTATATATACTACAGCTACCATCTTTTTAAATTATCACTAATATGATTTAAAGTTTTCTTTTTATATATTGCAGGCTGGCAGGAGCGCTTAATAGTGTCTGACATGTGAACACCTTGAAATAAAAAAGGAGATCACAGGCAGAGAGGAAACTCCAGCCGCTCTTTGAATAATAGCAAATCTTGTAGTTATACATGAGATGACAAATGGAGGCAGAGCAGGGCGATGGTTGTTGAAACACTCACCATTTGATGCTGTGAAATCAATGGCCACTGTGAAGTGAATCTGAGTCCTGAAACAGATGAATAGGGGAAAGGATGCTATTAACAAAAGCGAGGCAGGAAAACTCGATGCTGCAGTTTAATGAAGCTCTCGCAGGTTTCAGCATCCTCTGTGGTCTTATTTGAGAAGAGCTGCGACAAAACTGAACCACAAACAGTGTTGACAATATATCTTCTGGAGTCAGGCTTTAATAGTTTAATTTTTAAAACAGTGAAGGAGATACATACATAAATTATGTATTGCTATACTGCATCCAGAGGACTGTTCGAGCCTTTTAATGACTACATTACTTAAAGATTTAACAGCACAACTACAAGACCATAAAAAGCAGAAAACCTGATAAGAGCACAGCCATTTCACCAGTGATTTGTACAAACACATAATGAGTCGCTGCAGCTGGCTTAATGAAACATCAGGAAAGATATGGGGATGAACAAAGCATCTGAATAAAGTAACTCAGTTTCATTCACTGCACCCAGGCTGAAAAAGCAACCTACAGCCAAAAAAAAGAAGTCAAAAACTACTATTTTTTATTCATGAGCCCATAATGATAGCCAAAACCTTGAAAAGAAACTAAACATGGCCTAACTAGTCTCTGCTGGATCTGTTTATTTCCCGAGAGAGAGAAACGAAGGGAGCGAAAGGAAGAAGGGCGTAGATCAAAGTGCGTGCTCTTTCATTGTGATTAACACTGATTGCCTTTTCCTAGCTTCACCTCCATTCAGAAATTCCCACAAGCACAGTATTGTAGATAATGGCACCGTCCTCCTGGGGAGGCTCTGACCTCAGCTCATTAATCAGCATTGAGCCGAGCATTCAGCTGACAAAGGGGAATTGTTGCGGTGGCATGTTGCCTCGATTTGAAAGTCTGATTTCTGTGGTTAGTTTGAATGTTTGGCTAGAAAAGCTAGATGGTGGGTTAGCATTAATACTACAGGACCGTAGACTCTGGGCATGTTATTCAAATTGTCTGTCGGATCATTATGAACAGTTTCATACTTAAACATTAATTGCTGAACTCTAACCTAAAATAAACCAAAAAAAGGGTCAAAATCCGAAAGGGTTTTTTTTTGCATCACATAGCATTACCTTGCATCATATTTGTAAATAAATAGTTCAGTTTTGTGCTCTCTAAATGTCTCCAAATCGATACTGTGTATAGGAAGGAAGAAAACACCTTAAAGTACCTAAAACCTCTGGACAGCACTGCATGCCTATGTTCTTGGGACAAAAAAAATCAATATGTATTCATGTTGACTGATGCTGTAATATTGCCAGTTTTGGCAAACAACCAATGGCTGATCCGGAGATGTTATTTTTATCCTTGTCCTTGACAGCTGGTAATTTTTCTGTCTGTCATGATCCAAGCAGCCAGGAACACACAGGCACAAATGTAATCTTCAAAAAAATGGGTTTTATTATACCCCCAAAAAGGACAAGATGAGTACAAAAATTCAAAATAACAAAAATAAAGTTTTTAAGAACCAAGTGGGCCCATAAAAGAGGTTAACTTAACAGAACGCTACTCAAAAGTCACTTAACAAAAACATAACTCAACAAACCGACCTGCCCAAATGAGAAACAGCTCCAGTTATATAGCAAATGAATAAACCATTATATACACCAAAGGTGAAAACTAAAGAGGTAACAGCTAACCATCATTCAAGAAGAACCCCATTCCCCCTGCACGATCACAATAGATGGTCCAGTCCACTTTATTGGCTTCTGCATTTAAACCAGCTCCACCCTCAGCCTCCTCTTTCAGCCAAGCCAGGAAGGACTGGAGCGGAGGTCAGGTAGCAGAAATATAATCAATATAACATATACCTATATAAAATAACGAACAATGCAAAGCAAAGTCTATGCCACCATTTGGGCTTTAGCTTAGTGCTGTCATGCATTACAGGGAAACTCAAAATATCAAATTAGACAAAAGACCAAAATGAATATTACCTAAGTATCTCAGTTGTGTGGTTGCATGCAGCCATCACACTGAGTGATACATTGCTCGAAGAGGAGCATAAAAGTGAAAAAAAATATGACAGTGGACAAATTAACGTGCCCTCACCATTTCCTCAATTTCACCAGGCGTTTTTAAATCTGACATCAGCCTTTAAATGGCCTCATACAATCTAATTCAACACAAATCTTTCAGCACAGGTAGTCCGACAATTCCCTCTTGGCACCGGTTTGTCCTTTCACTCTGCCACTCAGTGTCTCCTCTCCTTTCAGTTTTGTTCCAAGCTAAAATGACGGTTCCCCAAACAGTTTGTGGATCACCTTGAATTACTGCAACAGTATAAAACAGGCAGAAACGTATCGGTGTCATATTGACTTTACCATTCCAGTTAGACAAACACCATATGGCAAGGGCCTGTAATGTGAAATGCCTGCAGACTAAGCAATCTGAGCAGGGTGGGTTATTGTAAGTAATGCAAAACCGGGAACAAACAATGTACCTACAGTTAATTTACAGTCTCATCAGTATGCTCTGGAAACATAAACTACACCAGTGAACAAACTGCCACAACAGTAAAGATGATTAACAATCCACTGCCACCTCATTAGTGCACCTACACTACCTCTGATTATTTTAATATTTTGCTTCCAATGAGCCAGACTCTCTCATAATGTTTTTTTAATGGTTGTGAGCAAAAATTCTCAAAGGTTTTTGACAGGATATTGGCTATTTTTTCACAAATTTTCAATCCAGTTCTCATACCTGACCATTTTCAGAGGAATGCTTTTTTGTCTGTTAAGCCTCTTGACACTGACCTGTGAATATTTCAAGCATTAAAAGGCACCTATCTCAGGTTTGTTATGTGCAGTCTGCTGCAAAAACACATTTTTCCCCATTTTATTCGTTAAATCTGTAAAATATACTAACACAGTTAGACATTCATAACATTGTATTTTTGTACCAACAAGGGGATTTCCAAAGAACTATCTCAGCATTGTGCGCAATGCTTCCTTAACAAATATGAGGAAACTGGAAGAGTGGAGGGCAAAAGAAAAAGTTCACGACTAAATAAAGCCTATCAACTGCAGATGAACAGTATCTGAAAGTCATGTCCTTAACAACTTTTTAAAAACCCAGCAAAGACCTGTCATGGATTAACTTAATCCACCTACTATTCACTGAATCCACATCAGAAATTAGTTCACAGGACATCAAGAAGCCATTGTTAACAAAGGAAATGGCGAGGAAACAGCTGCAGTATGCCAAATTACACAAGAACTGGAAATTAATGAATCAAAATTTGAAATACTTGGCTCAAACTTTCCCAAGGGGGTCAGGAGAGAGGTAGAACCTTTGGGAAACATTTAAGCCAATGGTGTTGGGGAACATTTCAAAACTGATGGATGTTGAAGGTAAAAAAGCACCATCAGCGCCACTATGTTTTGCTTCACCAGCCATGGTATTAATCCAACACCATCTGGAAAGCATCTGACTGGCAAGAGATGAATTTTTCAGCATCACAATGATCCCAAACACCATACCTGGATAGAAAAACACACAATGGAACACTAAGTCATGGATTGGCCTCCCCAGAGCCTGGACCTCAACAATACTGAAGCAGTGTATGTTCATCTTCACAGAGAATGGAACAAAAGGCAGCCAACATCCAAATAAGAGCTTTGAATATGCGGACGTCATACCAAATATTTACTTTCAAGCTCTTAGAATGACTGTTTTTTGCCTTATATGCTGCATTTCCATTCTATTGCATATGTTTCAATAAACCGCTGCCCTTTTTTCCAATTTTACTAGCAAAGTATAAATACATAATGCAGTCTAACTGTTATACTGACAGGGGTTTCTTTATTACTTTGTCCATTTATAGCAGTGCTAAGCTAGATTTTAAAAAGCACCTCAGACATTTATAAATGAATGAGTCATTCTATAGATTTCACTGAATTCAAGCGTAGTACGGTAACAGGATGCCACCACAGCAACAAGTCAGTTTATAAAATTTCTTCCTCCTAGATCTTGGGGCAATTGTGGCTCAAGAGTTGGGAGTTTGCCTTGTAATCGGAAGGTTGCCGGTTCGAGCCCCGGCTTGGACAGTCTCGGTCGTTGTGTCCTTGGGCGAGACACTTCACCTGTTGCCTACTGGTGGTGGTCAGAGGGCCCGGTGGCGCCAGTGTCCGGCAGCCTGCCTCTGTCAGTGCGCCCCAGGGTGGCTGTGGCTACAATGTAGCTACCGTCACCAGTGTGTGAATGGGTGGATGACTGGTTGTGTAAAGTGCTTTGGGGGACTAGTAAAGCACTATACAAATACAGGCCATTTACCATCTTTAACTGAAAGTGGCATTAATGCAAAGTGGAAGCATTTAGGAACCACAGCAACTTAGCTACAAAGTTACAGAGCATGATCGCCACTGTCAAGGTGCATAGTGTGTAAAAGTTGCCAACACTTTGCTGACTCAATAGCTGCAGAGTTCCAAACCTCCTGTGGCGTTGACATCAGCAGAAAAACTGTGCTGGGAGCTTTGTGGTATGGGTTTCCAAAGCCGAACAGCTCCAGAAGGTGTAATGTTAGGTAGTCCACTACTTCTCTATATACTGCATATTTAGAAACTTAAAAAACTGCATGGGACATGATTGTAAAGTATTGGGGTTTTCAAGCAATAGCTGTACACTGTGAGAACGACATTCAGCCAGACTTTCAAAAGAGCAAAAAGCTAAAAAAAATTAAAAAGCTAAGTGGGTGAATGTAAAACTGGAAAACAGCATAGACCCCATGAATATCCATGAATATACAGCATGTGGCAGTAGAAAAGAGTAGCTGCACTAACACTGCTGGAAACTGTCATTGCTGTTTCTAGCTGTGCCGATTCCCTGGACAAAACATATATCTTTGTAATACATAAATTTAAAGAATTCAAAGTGAACTGTTCTGTCTCTGGTGACTGTAAACTCAAACTTCTGTATGATCACAACAAATCACCAGACTGCACAGCCTAGCAGACCAGAAATATCTCTAAGGGTTTAGCATCAGTACATCT